GGTTTAGGGATACTGTTAGGTTTAAGGCCAATTAAGGTACAGGGGTATCCTAATTTTGAGTTTAGAGTGAAGGTAAGTTTGGATTAGGATACCTCAATAATAGAGTACCTTGATTTTGTGTTACGGTTAGTTTTAGGGCACCCCAATATTGAACTAAGAGGTATCAAGACTTTGGAGTTAGATCAGAGTTATGGTTATGGCTCTCCAATATTGAGATACGAGGTTCCTCAATTTTAGGTTTAGGGTTGGGGCACCCCAACATTGGGGAACATGACAAATCAATTTAGGGGTTAGACTAAGAATTTGCCACCCTACAATTGGTTAGTGGGTACCCCAACTTTGGGGTAAGCTTAGAGTTAGGGTTAGGTTTAGAGAACCCCAATATTGGGTACAAGAAGTAGAAGTAATGTTAGGGTTAATCTTATGGCTAGTGTTATGGCACAAATATATTGGGATGTGCTGCACCTTGACTTTGGGTTAGGGTAGGTTTAGTGTTAGAAAAGTATCTTAATACTGTCTCCTAGGATACTCCCACTTTGAAGCTAGGGTTAGTGTTATGGAGCCCAATATTGGGGACGGGGTAGCATGATTTTAGGCTTAGATTTAGTGTTATGGTATTCCAATATTGGGACCGGGAGAATCCCAATTTTGGGAATAAGGTTGGGATAAGTTTTAGGATTATGGCACCACTACAGTGGAGTACACAGGGCACCTCAATTTTTTTGAGTTATGGTACCCAAATATTGGGTTACAGGGTACCCCAATTTGGAGACAGTAGGTTTTTACTGCATTTACAGTTCAGTAAGCATTACAGTAATTCAACAGACAAGACAGTTTGAGACGTCAGTGAGTTCTGTAGCTTACATTTCACAAGAATGAAACAAAACCTTCACAGTGGCTCCTGACACTTGTCAACAATCTTGTATGCTGACAGAACTTTGGCAGTAATTTTCTTTGTGGTGTGAGAGATTGAACTCAGAGCCCTGTGCATGGTAGGCAAGCACTGTACCACTCAGTAGTCCTGCTAGTTCTGAAGCTAAAAATTTTTGAACCCGGCTATAATTATTGATGAATCATTTTAGTGTCTTGTGATGGTGGAAAAACTGAAGTTTGTTTCTATTTTTGCTAAAAACATATTAACATGTTATTATATATCACAATTAATTTGTAAAAAAATGTTTTATAAAATGTGTTAGTTAATAAAACTGCTTCTTGGGGGGTACATATGAAACATACGAAATTTTTGCTCAGCAATAAATACCTTCTCTCCTTGAATTTTATCTGTGGTGTCTCAAACTACAAAAATCGTATTTTGGGCTGCAAATGTTGCAGCCTACGTTGCACATGCTCTTGGCTTCAATTCCTACAAACGCCACCAGCGGGAAAAAAAATTATGTACAGTTTAAAATACTAAAATAAATGTGTGTGAAAATGTTTATTCCAGCTCTACTTATGGTGGTGAAAAATGCCTGCGTGTTTCATAGGAGGACACACTTAGATACATTGCGATACAACACATGATACTATTATGCAGACATTAAAACTTGTTTCTGCAGTTTTCCAATAGCACTGACTAATACATATGTCATTATGGTAAGTTAAAAAGAGTAGAGTATAAAACCGTACTACCCATACAATTTTGGTTACATTAAAATATGTCTACAGGGAAAATCTGGAACCGAAAAAAAAACTGTCATTGCTCTAATTGGCTTAAAGCCAAGGAACACTGCTCTGGCCCCAGGTAGGGGCACCAACACAGGGACAAGAGCACAAACCCTACCGTCAGCAAATGGCTTCCATGTCTTCTGCACAGATCAGCCTCAGAATCATAAGAGTTTGGAGGAAGTATCTCTGATCTGGCACTTTTTTGGAAGGCAAAAGATTGTATTCAACCTAGGCCGTGAGAAAGTTTACTCTGTGAAGATTTCACTGGGGCTGGAGCCTCAGTTTGAGTTTCAAGGATATCTGGGCTGATGGCATAAGGTGGAAGAAAGTTTTCCTGATATTCACCTCAATGGTGGGCAGCACACATGCACAACTGAATTTGAGACTATCAAGGTTCTAGCCAGAAAAACAAATCTTTAAGGGCATAGATTCTCTCTCCACACAAATATGCACAGTACTGACACACAAAACATTTGCATGCATGTGTACAAATGAATACATACATATGTACACACATACACACTCGCATTGATACACATATACTCATGCACATACACCAACTTGGTCACTTTATATGCATGGCACACACATACACATATTCTTATGCATGTATACAAACTCATACTCATGACATGCCCACATATATATTCATGACACACATTCGCATGTGTATACATATATACACACATCACATCATAGTAAAAACACATGGCAGAGATATGGTCATATATGGTCTGTTGTGGTTGTCTGGGGATCTGGAATGTGTCCTGCAAAGTCTATGGTGCTATTCCAAGAATGAATTTAGAGGGAAAACTAATTACAAACAAAAAGAGAAGTAAACTCTTACTTCCTTTGCATTAAAAAAATAAAAGTATTAAATTCTTTCAAAGAAGCAATCCACCATTTTTTTAATCCCTTCTGTTTAGAGGTTTCTGCTTTGCTGGGCTGATCTCACATCATGGATGGTTCTGTTCATTATTCTATTTTGCTACCTTGACACACTGAGGTTCCAGTTTTCTCTCTTCACCTTTTATCTTTTAAATGTGGTAAAATAGAGATAGCATAAAATATACCACTTTAAATATTATCACTGCACAGGTCAGTAGCAATACATATACATTATCACCAGTGTCCATCTCTAGGCCATTTTCATCTTGTAAAACTGAAGCTGTGTTTTCTGTTAATGAGGGTTTTCTACGCCTGGGCGCCAGTCTCCCAGCTACTCTCTAGGTTTTACATCTGGCGGGCCCCAATGGCCATGGCATAAAGAATCACGCCACACATCACAGTAAGAGTGGTTTTCCTGGAGTCAGACTATCAGGGTTTAGTATAACTGGCATGAACATTATTGATGGGCCAACTATACAGTAAAACTTCTGTCAATTCTTCAGTTTTATTTCTAAATTCATTTTTACACAAAGCCTGAAAGTTATGATACTTTCCAGATATGTGGGGAATCACATTTTGAATCTAATCAGAACTCACAGAAATTCCCTTCAACTGATGCATCCCTGGGTCCCTGGGATTCTTTCATCCATACTGGAGACCTGGAGCACTCCAGGAAACAGCCTGGTCCTGGAACACAGTCTGGTCATGAGGAACATGCTTTCCAAGTACATTTCACAGCTCTAAAGAAAAGGTCCCATGAATGGCTCTTTGATTCTTAAGAACTTGTACATGCTGACTTTTTCCAGGTCTGGGCATTAAACCCTCAATCTTTTTAAATTTTACCTTGGGAGACGAGGTCTTGTTAAATTGCCCATGTTTTCCTTGAACTTGCTATCTTCCTGCCTCAGCTTTCTAAATAGCTATGACTATAGGTGTGTACACCCAGCAACACACATCCTGATTCTTACTATGGTTACAGAGATTGAATTACAGCCTGTTTTCTTCCTCCTGCAAAAGGTACAGCCAGCACCACATGGTGAGGCTTTGCTGAACGCTTTTGACCTGGTTCGAGTTCCTGGTACCTAAATCCATACACTGCCCCTGGCAATGTTCACATGACAGAACCTGTGACGGGACATAAGCTTGGTGATCCTTACGCCCTAGATGCTTACAATGTAAGGCAGAGTGTGACTTCAACATGTTAGGAGAAGGGCTCCAGAATCACAGGGGTAGATGCCTATGCTGGGACCTGAAGTCCTTTCATTCAGTTGCCCAATATTCTCTCCACCTCCCTCTTGTTAACTGAGTACCTTTGGGAGAGAAATGCACCTCCCTGCATGAACTCAGGAGCACAGGTCCAAGGGTCATAGGAACTCTGTGCTCAACCACTGATTCCCAGAGATGTTCCTCTGACCCAGTATGGGCCCTATCCAATCAAAAGCATCCACTAGGATATAACACACAGATGCTGCAGAGGGGCAACCTCGTTCCCTGGATTACAGCTATCTTTGTGACCCTTTGATGTGAATTTGTACTGCAGTGAGGGGGGCTGAGTCCAACACTCAGGATGGAGTTGGACAAGAGGAGGAGGTTCCATTCTTTAAGAAAACCTCATGTTCTGTGTCATCTTTTATAGGTACACCTATGCGCAATTTGTAGATTATTCATTAATATTTCTTTTCTCAGTTACAAAATTGTTTGCTGTCGATAATTCAGACAATGCAAAATGATCTGTATTCCTACCTGCATAGTAAAAATCACTACCATTTTAGTAGTTTTTGCTCAAGTCTTTTTTTTTTTTTCCTTTGTTTTTTTTTCTGGGGGATGGTAAGGTTTCACTCAACATCAGTTTTGTGGTATCAAGCTGTCATCACATACTGGGCCAGGCAGGATAGCCCTGGAGTCCTTAGTAGATGGCCTGGGGCACATGTGGTTTCTATTTTAAAAATGACATGAGGACAGGTGTCCTATGCTGGGGGATTTTTGTTGCTCCAGGCCCAAATAGCTTGAGCTCAGAAAGGTAAACCTTTTGGCAACTGTGAAGACTAAAAGTTATTTAGTTGGTTCATTAAAGGAAAATGGAAAGCGTCTTTTTTAAAAAAAATCAAAATAAGCCAGGTGTGGTAGTGCCTGCCTGTAGTCCCAGCACTCAAGAGGCTGAAGCAGAAAGATTACAATGAGAGCTACCCAGGGAGACCCTATCTGAAAAAGACAGAGAGACAGACAGACAGAGAGACACAGAGAGACAGGAGAATGTGAACATCATTCATGATCTTTTTACTCTGCCTGTTTAGTAATTAGTAAACACCTAAGTAAACTGAAACCTAGGGATTTAGATTAATGACTTCAAGGTTTCTACCACTTTTTTCTATTTACTATATAGGGTATTGGCACCGAAAACCAAAAGAAAGACAATCTGTTTTGAATTAAGAACCCCACAAACCCAATGCAATAAGCAATGGTATATTTTTTTTTAAAAAAGGAAGGGAAACAAACTTAATTCTTCAAAGACATATTACAGATAAGTAAAAATACCAGTATTAATATATAAGTATATACATAGTGCGCAGATATATATATATAGATAGACAGAGAGATACCTATATATAGATATATATAGATGATATAACAGTAACATACATGCGCCTTGGGACAGAATTAAAACATGTTCCTTCATATTAATCTAAAATTCTATTACAATTTGAAATCACTGCAAGAAAACTTGCTTCCTCTCTTTCTTTTAAGACTTCAAGTATAAGAAGTGATCCAAGCAGGATCTAAATGTGGAAACTATCTGCTATATACCAATTAAAACAGACTGCCACAAATCACGAGTCCAGGTATTCTGATTTTTTATACAGGTCTCCACAACTCTGCAACTGTGTCAACTTTCTACCTGAGATGAGAGGAAAATGACAAAGTATGACAGTTTGTGAGTTTTTTGTGCATGTTCATATGGATGTTTCAACAAAAGCAAACTGGAAAACATCTCACAGCGATAACACTGGTCATAAAATCATCCTAGAGGAAGAGTCCTTCCTCCCCGTTTCTTGCCAACTAAACCAAGCCAAAACAAAAACACACAAAAAACAGATACTGCCCATTCCCACCCAAAATAAAAACACTCAGGGTGAAGCACCACTGGTGATAATCAGCATACGGAAGGGACAGAGAGGTAGCATTTCCTTGGTGACAGCTCCTGGCTGACTCAGATGATTTCAAACACGCCCTCTTCTGCAAAAGGCACTCACATTGTCTATTTATAAATCATATAGTGGGGTTCAAGCATCAGTTTCCTACAAATACAAAAGAGAGAAGCTGTGGAGCTAGTTTAAGAACAGAGTATAAGAAATACACATTGCAAATAAATGTGCACTTTTCTTTCCTTATTTAAAAGGACAATCAATAAAGTAGTTTAAAAATTTCACTGAAAAGTTTGGAATTCCAATAAAACTGTGAAGGAAAGCACTGTAAATCACAGACAGTGTCCAAAACACTGAGAGGCAGGAGCCAGGTTTCTGAGTGGCCAAAGTGAAGGATGGGGCGTGCACTGCATAAGAAAGACCAGCCACACACAGACTGTGTGAGGGAGAGGAGGAAGTGACATGGTGAAGAGGAGGAAGGGGGCATCTTCAGGATGCAGGTACAGGAAGGGAAGCCCCAGCACCCCAGGGAAGGACGGATAATGCCCCTTTGCTGCTGCAGTCATGGAGGCATTGCTCAAGCCATGGCCTCCCTCACCGGGAAACTACAGAGCTGATGGAATTGTAAGATGTGCCACTGTTGCAGCTTGAGGCATAGGCCTCCTGGCCACTGCCATCAAAGTTGATTTTGAACACAGAGGAGGCCTTCAGTAAAAAGTCGGCAGCATCCCGGCGCCCCAGCTCCCTCAGTTTAGACACAAGGACACCCACAGTGCTCTCTGGGTAGGAGGTCCATTCCTGCAGCAGCGCGTGCAAGGGGCTGGGGAGGAAGTCCCCAGGAGCCCCAGTGCTGCTGTTGTACTTGGCCACAAGGTCAGGGAGGCCCAAGTTCATGGCAAGAAGGCACCAGTCCTTCCCCATGGGGTCAGGTGGATCCAGCAGGCGACTCAGTTTCCTACGGGTCAGGAGGTTCAGGTCTGATGCATGGATGTCCATGCCCAGGCTGGCCTGGGAGTAGACATCATGACATCCAAAGCAGGTGATGCTGCTGAAGCTCTCTCTGTACCCACCCATAGTGTTGGTCAGGGAGCTCTCCCTCAGGGTCTGTGCTCGGAAGAAGTCCCGGGGATGGTAGACCATGATGGGCTCATGGTGCTCTCGAAGCTGCTGTGGGCTCAGGTAGTGCTTCACTGTCAGCAGCCCTGGTAACGTAGTGCTCATGACGTTCTCGATGGTGCTGCACACGGAGTCCAGCAGCAGGCAGCACTTGATCTTCTCGGTCTCCAGCCCACGCACCTGAACCTCAATGCCCTGGCCATGGTTGACAAGCAGCACTAACAGCTCAGCCCCACGGTTGGTGACCTTGCAGCCACTCACCCACAGGCGAATGTCAGCATCACCTTCGACACTCTGCTGGTGGATCCAGCGGCACAGGTTCACCTGCACCTTGTGAAAAATGCCACAAGGGAAAGGAGTGAGATGCTCTACAGGGACAATGCGCACTCCGCCATACACCATGATGTCATCCTCTTCCTCAGCCCAGGAGCGCTGTAGGTTGTCAGTCTTGATCAGGGCAGGGACATCCACCATGGTCCCACTGCTCAAGTCCCGTGCACAGATGTCCATGGCGTCCAGAATCTGCAGCAACTCCTCCACATCACTATCAGGCACCAGGCGCTGAATGTCCTCCATGGTGTAGCGGCCCCGGTAATGGTGCAAGGCACGGGGTGTCTCTACTGAGAGCAGCTTTCCCAGAACATTAGTGCAGAGCCAACGAGGGTCCAGGAGCAGTACATCCTGTACCGTTTCACTCTGCATGATGTTAATCTGCCAGAGGGAATGACACAAGGTCACAGTAAGAGTGGAATCCATGCCATGAGGATCCATCACCCAGAGCATACGAGGGCCCAAGCCCAGCAACAAATCGTAAGCAGGCATCATTAGAAATGACCCAGGACCCTTACATGGATCACCTCTAAACTAAGCACAGATCCTCAAATAGCAGCCTGAAAATAGCAAAAAGTGATTCTGAGGAGTAACTACCATTGAATGTCAGAAAGCCCACCACAATGGAAGATATACACACACAAAAGACAAGTACAAGAAGAGCAAAAAGAAAAAGAGCAAGAAGAGGTATGGAAAACAAATGCAACAATCCTGAATCCTGAATCCCAAAATAAATACACAAATGAATAAAAATGCTACAAAAGAAGTTATGAGAACAAGCAAAAATCTCTTGTACGAGGACTATTTTTTCAGGTACAGTACTGTATCGATGCTATTGTTTCTGAAATACAATTATCTATCACACCGGGTCATGTAAGACAATGTCCTCCTCTTTGGAAATACCGTTAAAGTATTAAGAGCTAGAATGCGAGGCTGTCTGAAAAATAAATCAGTGAATGAATAGGAAAGAAACCTAAAAGCAAGTGTTGCAAAATCCAAATAATCAACTTTAAAGACAGAGTATATTTGAGTTCATAACATCCTTGGAACTTCTGTAAAGACTTGAATTTTTTAACAAAATGTATGTCACATAATATGTATTTATGTAAATTTAAATACATTTCTGATAGAACTGTGGGGACCGGCGGCGGCTGAAAAGATATGAAATATATGAAATATAAATGACCTTTATATTGAGAATGCGGGGAGAGACCTCCCGACACCCTGGGGTGCGGCATCTCTCCCCGGGGTCAGCGATGTCTCCATGGAACACGTGGAGTGCAGGCATATAAGTAGCCTAGGTTTGGGGTGGAACCTAAAGGGCATTAGTGATGCACAGGTAGCCCATTGGCACTCGTTTGGTGCCAGAGGTAAATTCCTAGGGGTGGGGAAGATGGAGCTCCTTTTTACCAGCTCCATCTTCCACACCCTTAGGAACTTACCTGTGACTGTATCTTCCCCATCCCTAGGAATTTACCTTTGGCGCCAAACGAGTGCCAATGGGCTACCTGTGCATCACTAATGCCCCTTAGGTTCCACCCCAAACCGACGCTGCTTATATGCCTGCACTCCACGTGTTCCACGGAGAGATCGCCGACCGGGGGGGGGGGGGGGGATGCCGCGCCCCAGGGTGTTGGGGGTCTATCCCTGCATTCTTAAAATAAAGGTCACTTATATTTCATACTTCTTATCTTTTCAGCTGCCGCTGGTCCCCACAATTCTATCAATTTCCATACAAAAAGGTCTGGAAAGATGTGCCCTCTTGAAGACAGTTCACCCCAGAAAAAGGAGAGAAATCAGAAGTGGTGACTAGAGGGCACTTCAGCTCTACAGGTCATGTTTATTTCATTAAAAAACAAAAAGACACAAAGTTAGAAAAAAAAAGTAACAAGAAACAGAACTCCTTTTAGGGAACAGTTATTTTTCCTTTGCCTCCTCCCTGCCCTGGGCTAGTTCTATAAAAATGACTTGTTCCTCACAGGCAGCACACCGGTGGACCACCACACTGCTCTTCTTCCCAGCTAGACTTTTCTGACTCATGCTCTATATGGCTTTGTTGTATTTGACTCTTAGACTGCAAATTCCTGAAGGGCACAGTTCACATCTATGTGGTTCCTGACAGAGCACTTTGTAGATCACCATTCACACTGAGTCCTGCTGTCACCTCAGGGTCATAGGAGACACAGACTGACTCATGGTCTTGGGAGAGATCAGGCAGATGAGCAGGTTACCATGTGCCCTGTGGGATCCTGAACCAGAAGACAAGTGAGGGGAATACATGCATACGGTATGCAGAGCACTTCCCAGAAGGCAGCAACAGAAATGAAGGAGGCTGGAGTCAGTAAAGTGAGGCTGTGCCACTGGGCCTTCCCTTCTCTTTTCCTCTTTTAAGTGTTCGTTTACTTAAGAAAGATATGATATCAAATTAACGATTCATGTGCTGGATCTAGGAATTGCTGGTAAAATAAAAGACTATTATACCAAAGGAACAAGTTAAAGTATTTTATATCCAGCCATGTCTTATAATTTAGGCTTGACTTCAACTGTCTCTTTCCGCATCATCCCTTTACAGTACTGCTGGGGAATCAGCAGATTTGCTTATTGTTTATTGGATATTTTAAAGGCCAATTAAATCACCACTTGTGGCTCTTCTCGGTCACTGGCTTCCAGATTCAGTATTAGTTTCAAAATATATGGCTCACATGAATATGTCTACGACGTGGCAGCTTGAGCCTCTGGATTCAATATTCTCCTTCCAGTTCTTAATATTCGTAAGGGGTGCTCTTGGCACAGTCTGGCCTATGTTGCCCCTAATTTCACAGGATGGAGAAATGTGAAGCTATGCGCCTTCTGGGGGATGAGGACATGCAGCCAATGCCAGTGCTGAATGTTACACAACCAAAAGTAAAAAGTCCTATTTTCTGTCATCCTGAGAAGGCATCTGGGGTTTTAAGTGTGTTTAGGGTTACGATCAGTCTGCGCTCTGCACACTTTCTCTCTTCTTAGTGTCTCCAGAATGGTCTGCCTGAGGATAACTCATCACCTTTTCTCAATTTTTTGTTGACCAAGAAGTCATCTTGGAGTTAGATCCTCCTGACCTGACCACAGAGGACCACAAGCCTGGGCCTACCAGGAAGAGCTGGAAACTATCACATCTGCAAAGGTAAGGGGACAGTCACCCAGGCCAGTGACTCTGTGCCCCTAACTAACAGGAACTGGAGGACAAGAGCAAAATGGAGAAAGCTGAACAGCAGTGCTCAGATGAGGGAGAGGCAGAGAGCTGCAGGTTCGGGAACTACCTGAGACAGTAACAGCTGCACACCTGGAAATACTGTGAGAGATGAGGCTCTGTCTGCTCTGCAGCCTCAGGCTCAGTCCCCCTCAAGGCCCTGGACTTGGAGCACATCAAGTCCCTGCTACACCACGCCCCACGGCCCAACCACACAGGGAACATACCTCGCCTATGCTGTGGAGCTGCTGTGCGATGCGCCTGAGGTCCTCCTCGCTGGCCAGGGGGTTCAGTTGGTCTTGCACATCATATACAAACTGCTGCAGGGACATTAGCTGATTGGGCCCATTGAGCTTCCTCCAGGATGGCAGTATGGAAATGATTTTCTCGCACAGGTGAGTCATGGGGGGGCAGCCCTAGAGCATGCAGTGGGGTACAGTGAGTGCCGGGCCCAGTGCATACAACACCATGCATTCATGACCCCAGTGAGATGGCACTTTGCTGGCGAGTGCTGGGGCAGTTGTTGCCTTGGTGACATCTTTGGGGAGAATCTGTTTATCAAATGTACAGCTCTGGACAAGCTTTTGAGCTCTGCCTGTCTCGATAAACAGATGGTAAGTCTTCAGAGTTATGATTTGGAATTTTTGAAATTTTGTAATTCATCACATTTTTGCTCAGTTCTTCCCTCCCCCTGTCTTTGCTTGCTCACCCCCTCCCTTACACCCCATAGGACATGTTCCACTGTTCCACTCTGGCAATGGGTACTCGAGGAACAGAGAACAGAGAATGAATATCATTGTCAACAGTATTGCGGAATTTTAACCAGTAAATTCAGTGTTCATGGGGATTGTTATTGAGCTGTTATTTTGAATAGACCAATTCTTGGTAAATTCTTAGGCATCTGAGATGTTTACTTGGGGGGCTCCTTTTCCAATCAAGTTTCATGTTACCTAAATTCCAATCCCTAATTGGTATAAAATTCTCAGCATCTGAGACGTTTATTTGGGGGGCTCCACTTGCTAGTCCTCAGTAGTTGGTGGGGGGTTGTACCATACCCAGCTCAAGATCTTCCCCGGCTCTATGCTGCCTGAGGAAGGAGGTTTTATGCAAACATGGGATGGTAAGCCACCTGCTCTGGGGGCTCTGGTTCCCCAAGGCCTGCCAGATTGCTCCTATCTGCAGAAGTGCCTACTTGGGTATATGGATCACATTTCTGTGCAAGAGGAAAGGGTTTCCTGAGTGCAGGTGTGGAGCCAAAGCCTGGTGTTGGGTGGAAACCAAACCCCAGGTACCTCTGCGGGACAGCAGAGGTGTCACAGCCTACTCTAGTCAGAGTTGGGCTTGTGTGGCGAGAACATTCCTAAGAGCAGTGCAGCATCTTCCCCTTATTTTAGCATGTTTTTTCTGTTTCTTACCATTTTTACAAAGCTTTTTAATTACGAATAAGCAATCCTTTATGTGTCAAATGCACTGATAATTTCCCCTAGTTTATTTTCCTTTTTAATTTTAATTTTCCTTAGTCTATTTTCCTTTTTAATTTTATCAATCTTTACTGCCAGAGATTTGGTTTTAAATGTGCTATGAAAGTAAGCAGACTTTCTTTGAAGACTGATAGATTTTTGTAAACTTTCTTTAAAAGTTTGTTTCATGTCTAAATTATTTTAAAAATACATTTTCCAAATTACTATTTGAGATATTTATTGTTTTATAGTTAACCATTCAATAGTTTTAATCCATAAATGTTCAGGTAATATGGAAAGTTATGATAATCAGGTTTACTTTATTACAGCCAAATAACCAGCTGTGCCTAATTATTAGGCAAATACTGCCCTCATTAAATTAAACACTGTTTTTTTATTAAATTTGTTAATGATTGTGACTTATATTGACACAGTCTTACTTTAACTTTCCTGACCACAAACTCTTATCATATATTTTACTTCTTCTTCTAGTGAAATTTTAAGATTAAAACTCCCAACCATCCTCTCCGCCAGATGCTAATTGGAACCGTAGAAAATTTATTTAGCTTGGGAAAATGAAGCATTTTTTTTAATGTCTTACCTCTGGCAAGAACACAGCCTTATTCCATTTTTTCTGATCTATAGTTTTACATCATTTAATAGATTTTGTTAGTGTTGTCCAACTTTTCTGAATTTCCTAAAATGATCCTTTGACAAATTTTATGACTTTTTTTCTGAGTTTTCTTGCATTCCACGATAAAGCACTTTACAATTCCTTTTGCAATTTGTAAAAAGAAAATTTGCATTTAAACCATGTAAAGCTGTAAGAACTGCAGGCACTCTGATTTGGTCCACCTGGCCCTATTTCTTATTTCTCTCCTGTCCTGCCTCAATGCAGAGTAATATGCTAATAGCACATTCATGTGGTCCCTTAGTCCTGGGTCCTACTGTGAAGGCATCCCCTGAAAACCAAACCTAATAAAGAGGACAGAGCAGAGAGGCCAGTTCCAGGGTCACTGCTGATGACAGCAAAGGTTAGATCCAGGGCCCTGCAGGGTAGACTCACCGAGACTATTTGACTCCGAATTTCTTGGAGGTGATTCCGAAGTACCTTCATGTCCTTAGACCCAGAAGCTCCAGCATCCAGCACAAACAACTTATTTGAAATGTGGAGATCATTCCCAAATCTAGGGCAAGAGCAAGAGCTACATCAGCCCTGAGTCAACTTCCTCAGGTCTTTCCAAGCAGGGTCCAAGGCTCCTACCACACTGGAGCACCTTGCAGCATCTCTGGCTTTTCTGTTTGGTGGACTCTGCTTAGTCACTCTTAAGTGTATAGTTTGGGGATATAAGCATGCACTCTCACTCATACTAACAGGACCACTGGCTTTCCAACCAGCAGCAGGAATATACTATGGAAACACATCAGTGCCTCCTGAGCAGGAAAGGTGAGGCCCATATGTTCATCTTACAAGTGACACTGCTGAAGTGGAGGGACTAAAGACAGACAGAGTACTAAAGATACACCATTCACATGAAAATGTTCACAGAAGACTCATTTTCACATCGGGAAGAAAGAAGGCAGCTGTCTCAAACGGATAATTCAAGAGTCAAGTTACTAACACCCAGTTCACTGGTTTTTAATGGAGAATGCTTGATTCAGATGTGGTTTATCTCCCAAGGGCTCATGTGTTTCAGGTTAACTTCCCAGTGTGCACCACTGTGGAACACTGAAGAGGTGGGACCTAACAGGTGATTAAAGTCATCGGGTACTACTCTCCAAAGGAACCAGTGTAGTGCCCCTGGGATTCCAGTTAGCCCTCACAGAGTGCTACAAAAAGAAAGCGATATTTCCGGGCCTGTTTGGCTTCCTTTCACAGGTAATCGTACTATGTTGCTTTCTGCCACAATGTGATGAAGCCAAAGAGGTCTTCACCAGAGCTGCGGACACGCTGTTGGGATTTTCTGCCTCCAAAACAGTGAACTAAATCAACTCTTTCTTTGTAAATAACTTACTTACAGTTTACTTACAGGTAAATCACTGTACCAATGGAAAGAAGGAGTGTTACAGTTTCAGAGTAAAATTTTTGTTATCTAAGTAAATATTTTACATCTGACCTTTTGCACACTTAAATTTTGTAAGTAAAAGAAAAAAGTTTAATGCTTGACATTAAATGTACTCTGATCTATTTTATTCTCTTCAGTTCCATTTCATCTCATTCTATCTCACTGTAGGGAGAATTAATCACTAGCTCCCATCATGGCCTACTAGTAGGTTGCAACGTGTATGTTAAGAAACACTGATTAGTGCTATGGTGATAATCAGGAAAAGAACTGAAAGCCAAAGCAGCCACTGGAAATATCCTCTTAACAGCGGTGTCAGGAGGAAGAAAACAGTAGCAGGGTTTCTGATTTGTATCACGCGTGCTTCCTCTCTTTAATTGTTATATGTGTACTCATTCTTTGAAAAGATGAAAAATAAAAAAGACCAATCATGGAAGAAAGGCCTTTCATTCTTCAGTTAGGTCACATGCTTCCATCTGTATTTCCTCACCCACCCCCTAAATCCAGTTCCCTAGGATAGGAGGCTCCCCCAGGCTGTCCTCACCTGTTCCTGATTTCCTTCAGTAATGACATGTCTTTGTCATATCCAAACTCGCCTCCAGCTGGACGAGGGACATTCATGATGTCAGCATGGGTGGCTACCAGGACCACTCGGAGTGGGTTCTTCAGCTTACCACCAAAGGCTGGGGACACAGACAGAACTGTCAGGAATCAGGCTCCCCACCGGGATGACTCTCCAGCCCAAGTGAAGGACACATTGGCCTCATGGCTGGACCATCTTCAGGGGATGTGCTGCCTACCTGCAGACTCAATGCCCTATGCCTGCTGCAAGGTACAACTCCCTAAAAGGCCCCGGACCTGGTGAAACAACAAGGGAGCCCATTCTGGGCCATAAGGAGAGTTCTTAGCAGTGGTCCACTAGTGACTTCAGCACATGTCAGCATCTCAGGGCTCTGTACAAACATGTCCTCCTACATGAGGCAGATTTAACCACCCTCAAGGAAGCTGCTCTTTTCAGGCTCAAAGAAAGCCCTCTTCATGCAGCCAAGTGGTCCAAAGAGACACTGCCTGAGACTCACAGATAGCAGCTTTCACTAACTGGAATGCTTAAAAAGAGAAAGTAACAAAGGAGAAAAATCAATATGGCAACATGTTGAGGGATATTAAATGTAATTTATTATTCTATACTTTTCTGGGGAAAAACTTGGTTCCTGAATGCTGTATTTCCCCACAGAAGGCTATGTATCTTATTCTACAGAAACAGAAGTCCTCTCCATGTTCTGCTGTTCTCTAGGAATACCTAGGTGCCACAGTCAGACTATTGGGCTGCTTTCCTCCAGGGATTGAAGGATTAGCAGAATGCACAGCTCATTCTACTGGTGAATCATGGGTCTTTTCAAGCCGGAGCTCTTGAAGGAAGATTCCACTATGTATACAGCAAAAACCATACCTCTAAAGTATAGAAAGAAGTGAAAAACAGCTTCCAACAAATATATTGGAATTGGTCTTTGAGACAGAAATACATGGTCACGGAACAAAACCTCCCTGCAGAACAGTGCCCACCTGAGCCACAGAGTGGAACCTGCCAGTGAGGAAATGCAAGGATGGAAACAGCAGCTCCAAGACCCAAGCTGCAGCATCTGGGTAGGCTGTGGCCAAGCATGAAACAGGCAGCAGCAGCAGAACAAAGAGCAAGAGCACTGATGCCCTGGAGGCTCAACTCACCTATGGGTTCCTCCACCGGGACTAGAGACTTCAGGAAACTGAGCCAGAAAATCACTTGGTTCAGCTGAATCTCATAGGGTTCTTCTAAACTGAACACAATGATGTGGATTGATGTAGGATCATTTACAGCAAAATAATCATAGCAGCAGAAGTACACAGGATTTCCGGAGAACTCCCACACACTGAAATCGCCAATTCCTACAGAAAAAGAAAAATAAAGATCACCATCCTGAAACACCACCACCAAACTCAGCACTTTTTCTTAGTGTGCTAGGGATTCTGCATAGGGCTGGTGATACTAATGGCATTTCTGCATGTATGCACAACACAAATTGAAGGTTGGATTCACATGTGTAACAATTGTGTGGCTAGCACTGTGAAATGGAACATTTAAAGTTAGGTGTATTTTTTGTAATTTGTTTTCTAGAGACAAGCGGCTCTTTGAGGCCTAAGGTATAAGACCTTTTCCCACCTCTCTTTAGCCCAGATAAATGAAAAGAATATGTAGATGCTGACATCAGGAAGCCTGCAGCTCAGTTTTTTTTTTTTCTTCATTCTTATTTTTTCTACAGGAAAGGAGACAATTAACTGAAGATGGCTAAAAGTGATAAAGTGTGGAGATATGCTTTATTCCTCTATTTTTCCTCTATTCTGCTTATTATTAAAACAAGACAAAACAAAGCAGTTCTTACCTACCTGTAAATGGTCAGACAGTGATTCAGGCAAATAGGCCCTTCCCTGTTTTTGGAATTTTAAGTAAATCTTTTTTTAAAAAATTAATTTGGTTAGTGACAAGCAGATGTACCTGAGCACATGAGCCCAAATGGGCTCTAATAGTTCTAGCAGCCCAGATGGGACATAACTCCATTCCTGAGTGCCTTTTTATCCTGATAGTCAATTTACAAGGAGTGACGCTGTGGCTAGCTAAACCCATGGTCAGCACCCAGTGATCTTCTAGCAGCTGCTGGGGGCACTTTCACAACTGGGTATCTCCCTCTTCTTCATTAGACACTTACAAACACTTTTGTTGATTTCAGGAGGTTTCTGACAAGGTCCACCTGGTTTCTGATTAAAGAGCACACTCCAGAGATCTACTGTCCTCACAACTGCCATTTGTGGACATTCATACCTACAGTAAATAATTCTGGGCTTCTGACTTAGGTAAAATATTCACAGATTAAAAAATTTTCCCAGGTATATGTTTTAAAGTATTAATTTGTTTGGCTATGTCTTTGCTTCTTTTATCTTTCTCCTTTTATTCTAGTGCAAGCCATCAGCACACTGGGGAGTAGAGTTCCAGTGGGCAGGAGCCACTTGGGCATGTTGCGGGATGAATAACTGGGGTCCCCGCCACACAGTCAGAAATGAGAAGCAAGGGCTAGGGATTAGCTCAGTGGTCTAAGCACCTGCCTGGCAATGCAAGGTCATGAGTTCGATCCGCAAAAAGAAAAAAAGAAAGAAAGAGTGAGTGAGGATTGAAGGATGGATTCACATGTGTAACAATTGCAGACTGAACTTCAGGGGAACTAAAGACTCAGGTTTGCTGAATTATCCACCAGTGACATAATTCTACTGCTGGCTTGCTGGGATCAGCAACATGGATGTTGCCTCTGTCTACCAGTGACAGCAGAGACAAACCCTGAAATGAATTTTTTTCCTTTGCTTTTTATTAATTTTTAAAATTTTACTTAATTGTTCTTTTTACATGAGTGTGAACACTGTTTCTAGTTTTTGTTGTTACTGTAGTTGCTTCTTCCTTTTTCTTTTCCCTTCTCTCTTCTTCACCAGTTCCCAAAGCTTGCACAATTTTCCTTTGTCCTCCAGCAGCGCTGCTAATCCATTTCTCTTCTTGCATGTCTCTATTTCTCCTCTAACTCCTTTAAAATTTTCCCCGTGAGGGTAAAACTACCATTTTACAGTATATAATTTTCTGGTTTTAGATTTTGTTGTATAACTACAAATCTTGTTCATATGGTTAAATGTGGCAAATAAATAATTATCACAGTCTATCATTTTCTAGGCTGTGTTTGACGCTATTGTTATTGCTGACTGTACTACTTTAACTGAGGTGACATAATTGTTCTAGTCAGTTGTTCCTCCTGGTATGGAAGCCAGGGTCACAAACAATACTATAGGTTGGTGCCAAAGAACCAGGAGCTAGGCCAAATAGGCAGCGATTTCCCATCCCCAATAAATTGAAAAGTTATGATCTTGCAAAAGACTCAAAACCCAAAGCCAGTTATACCTGGAAGACCTCTCTTAACAGCAGTCATTCCTAAGTGTTTTTGATATTACCAAGACACCTACTAAAAACAATTCACAAACATCAATGCATGAATTAGAGTAAAAAGAAAAAGAAAATGAGAAGTCACAGAAGCAAGATGCAATCCCAGACTTCCAGCTCACCAAAGGCGAACCCTGGGGGGCGATGAGGTGGAACAACTCAAAAGCCACTCACTTGGACTCTCTGAGGTGATAAAAGCACAAGTAACAAAGCAGATAAATGATGCTCTAGAAAAAAAAATCAATTCAGTAATAATTTCTCAGATAATTTCTGAGACGATGATTACAATGAAGGTCATTATGTCATTAGTGAATATAGAGTAGATAGAAGTAAAAAAAAAAGAGGAGCTTAAGAAAAGTACAGAAACCACGAATGTCCAGCATAGGAAAAAATGGAATCCTTGAAACAGATTCAGTCATATATCCAGAAGATTAAAAAAGCTATTGAAAGTATACACAGAAGTATACACAACATGAGGACAGGATCTCAGATCAGAAAGACAAGACTGCAGTTAGTAACCTCGAAAAGAAAGATTTCTTAAAAATAGCAAAGGATCACACACACACAAAAAATCAATCCAACAAGTTCTACATACAACAAAGAATAACAACCTAAGTTTGGCTGGAGACAGTAAAAGGAGATAGCACAAACTACATTGAAAAAAAAAAAAACAAAAACCTATTCACAGGAGTAATGGCAGAAAACTTCCCAAGCACTGACATAGAAATTGAGATCCAGATAAATGACGAATATACAATTCTAATTAGCCATGAACAAAAACAAACGAAAAAACCCCCACAAAACCAAAACTACTCCAAGACATATAGCAGTCAAGATCCCAGAAATTCAAGAGAAGAATAAAACATTAAAAGCTGTTAGAGAAAAGAAACAAATCACCCATAAAGGAAAGTCCATCAGAATTACAGCAGATTTAACACAAACCTTTAAGTCAAGGAGAATGAAGTATTTCAAGTCTTAAAAGAAACCAACCTCCACCCAAGATTGATGAACCTGCAGAACAGTCTTTCAAAATTGACTTCCAGCTCTTCCACAAAATAAGAGTTGGAAGAAATAAGATACTTACGAGACAAACAACACCCAAAATTTCTAAAGAAAAATTTAGAAAGAGATAACAAAAATGGAATGAATTCACCAGGCAAAGTAAATAATTAAACAGGAAGGAAAAAAGAAACGAACAACAGAAAAACAAAATGACAAGGATAATCAATGCATACCAGTCATATCCATCAATGCAAATGGTCTCAATTCACAAATCAAAAGAAATAGATTGGCAGAATAGATCAAGAAACAAACAAACCCTGACAATATGTTGCATAAAAGAAACACATTTAACTCAAAAAGATACTCATAGATTGAAAGTTAAAAGATGGAGAACAATACTCCAGGTCATAGGAACCCAGAAAAAAATCAGGGGTAGCTATTCGATTTGTCAACAATGTGAACTTCAATTCAAGACTGATGAAAAAAGGCTAAGAAAGTCACTATACACATGTTAAAGGAAAATTGCAAGCAGAAGAGATAACAATCATGAATATATATGCATTAAATATCAGTGTACCTAACTACATAGAACGAGTATTAGCAGACATAAAAATCAAATAAGCACTAAACACAATTGTAATGGGGGACCTTTACCCATTATCACAAACAGACAAATCAACTAGAGAAAAAAAATCAAAGAAATAATAAAATTGAACAAAAATTCTGAAGAAATGGACTTAGTAGATATCTACAGAGTATTCTACCACACAAAATCAGAATATACATTCTTTTCAGCTGCACATGCAATGTTATTCAAAATAGACCACACATTAGCCCTTAAGTAAATGCAAAGTTTTAAAATTATCCTATGCATATTATCAGACCAAAGCTCAGTGAAATTGGAAATCAATGGCAAAAGAAATAAAAAAACTTCATAAATACATGGAAATTAAATAACATCTTCCTGATCAACAAATGGGTCACAGTTGAAACTAAGAAGAAATTGGACAGTTTCTACAATTAAACAATAATGCCAAAACAACATACAGGAACTTATAAGATACAGTGAGTGCAGTCCTATGAAAGACATTTGTAATTGTAACCTCCCATATTAGAAAAACAGAGTAGCTCAAGTAACAGCCTAATGTTGAGCCTTAAGCTTCTAGGAAAAGAAGAGTAAGTCAAGCTCATTGGTCATATGAGACAGGAAATTATAGATTAAGCAAAACTGAATGCAACTGAGACTAAAAAAACAATATGAACAATCAATGAATTGTTGTTTATTTGAAAGATTAAAATTGACAAACTCTTGGCAAACCTCATCAAAAAATGGATCAATCGATGCAATTAGGAATGAAAATTCCAACAAATACTGCAGAGAAACAAAGATCAATACCTACTTCTAACAAAATTGAAAACACAGAAGAAATGGACAGACTCCTAAACACAATCGAATTGCCAAAACTAAATCAAGAGGATAAAACTGTGAAATAACCCAATATTAGTCAATGAAATTGAAGATGTAATTAAAAACCTACCAACAAAGAAAAGCCCAGGTCCTGACAGTTTTACTGCTGAATTCTACAAGAAATTTAGAGATCTAATGCTACTAATGCTAAAACTCTTTAGTGAAATACTCTTTAGTGGTACTCTTTTGGTACCAAGGATTGAACTCACAGCCTCATGCTTTCCAGGCCAGCGCTTAGCAAACACAAGGTTGTAAGTTTGATTCCTGATACCACCCCCCAAAAATTAAATAAATAAATAAATAAAATGAAAGGCTGGGGATATAGCTCAGGGGCATAAGTGCCTATTGGAGACCACTAAGCAGCGCCTCAGAGCAGCATTTAAATTTTACAGCCCCTTGCCTGGCAATGGGAGCTGATTCATAGTAAGTGAACCTCTACGAATT